AGACAATATTATTATTATTATTATTATTATTATTATGACGGTACAGTCCGTTTGCTACTAATATTTTTGTCATAAAATCACTGATTTAATGCTCTATTGATTGACCTAAAAGACTATTAGAGTTTTCAAGAGATATACATACTACTATAGACATACTGTTATAACTATCTTTGATATAGTATTTGCTCTATATGTACCTAAACAATAAATTTTTAATTAATGTTTTAGTGTCATAATAAGTTACGTTGACAAACAAACAATCTAAAACCAGTAAATGTTATAAAAAAGCGAAATGAAATGTTTGTTTGAACATCATTAATTTTCAACTTTTCCGCTTACCATAAATAAATATTAAATGAAGTCGATAGGTATTCTAGGGATGACAACTTCTAATAAATATGCTGCGCTGCACTTGCCATATATTACCTATAATATTTGCTTTGCGGTTATTCTGGAAAGGAAAATAAATAAAAATAATAAGGAATCAGAAATAGCATATTGGCTACTATGACATAATGGTAAATTAGGAAAGAGAAATACTATATCTGTATCAGCTCCAGAATTTGCTTATAGATCTTAGGATGTCTCTGTGCTATATGGGAGTACTGTATTCCAGAAAAAGTCCATAGAATACTTGTGTTGTAACATAGTGGCATATCATTGTCCCTGTGGACTGTTTATAAACATTTTTAGATCCAGAAAATCTGGAAAACCCGCTGAAGAAATTCTGGAAGGTATCAAATTACTAGCGAGGCTTGACAACTATAATTTACCCCCAGGAAAAGACATCTCCTTCGATTTTCAGGACTTCCTAGACAAATACGATGCCGATGCCGACGGATATTATAATACCCACGACAAGTTGCGAATGGTAAATCTTGTACTGGATTTAATGATTTAATTTTAACAACCGCAGGGTAAAGTTAAGACATTTTTTAACATTTACATTTTCAGTTACAAGTACCATGCACAGAAATGCTGGAAGACTGCTTTTTATATGAAAAACAAAGGAAGTGCGACGACCTCTTCGCCGACGATTTGACCATGGAGGGTCACTGCTGCATCTTTAACTATCTATCGCAAAGCGCTAAGAATATATCGGCAGTTTTGTACGTTTTTTTAAATTTTTGCACTACTACACTCGCTGCACGAAAAACACTAAAACCTGCAATTTATTTGCTTTACGTGTTACGCCACCTAGTGACAGATCTGCAACAAGAACACTAAATTAATAAGCAGAAATTCTTAAAGTGTGCCTCTTTGTGAACGTTTGCTTGGCAAATAAACATTTTTCTCTGCATGTATGTATTTTTACCATGGGTTTTCAGATTAGGGAATAATAGAAAGCCCATGACAGCAGGAACTGTTGAAGAAGGGGGACTAAAATTCAAGCTGAACTATAATATATCGGACTATACGGTTACTTCCCTTGCTACTACTGGTGTTAAGGTACCGTTCACCAAAAATTTAATATTTGTCAAAAAACTGTTCAACAAAAAACTGCGCCAACTTGTAATGTATAGGGAGGTTTAGGATAAATTGGCCAAATTTGAAGCTTGAAATCGAGTGACAAATATAAAAAAGTCGTTAGAAGGAATATTCTGAGAAAGACTTTGTGTCTCTGAAAATATTTGATGTACAGTGATGAAACTTGGACTAATAAATAGAAATTTAACAAATAAAAGGCGAGGTGTTCGGAAAAAACTTTTTTGGAATAAACCTTAATCAGTATGAAAACAATATACAGGATGGCCAAATGAAAACGATATAGAGCCATTTTCAGGAACTGCGTCAAGATTGTAGAAAAACGCTCAGACCCGTCGATTTTAGATTAAAGGGGGACATTCTTTGCTGGTATTTTTGACTCCGCCACTTTCACTCCCAAGCAAGGGTAAGCATCACCCCAAAATATTGAAATGGCATTGGGGGTTGAGTAATATTTCTTTTGAAACCTCTTACAATTCTCTTTACAACAGACTTTAAATTTTATAATTCCGCCCAATACTTAT